TTAAAGACTTTCTCAATTCTTCATTACCATACTAGGAATGTTCTATTCCACTTTTTAGGACATCAAAGTTTCTAAAATGAAGTCTGCGAGATGAATATCAAGACTAATCAAGGGCTCAATTCTCTTGGAGATGAACACAATGTAAACAAAAATTCATTTTATTTTTTAACAATCAAAAACTACAGTGAGAATTTTTTTTATCAATGAGAGGAGTTATTAACACTCTAGTTTATATAAGAATTTTATCAAAAACTGATAACTACAAATGAAGCATTTTTAAATTTATAGATATCAATTTTAAAACTAGCATGAAAACATATTCCTATGAGAATAATGTTTGCTGAATTTGAATGTAAAATTTTGTCGTTATTATTATTATTATTATTTTATCATCGCTAGTCTTATTTGAAAAAAATCAATAAACACACACAGAATTCTATATGAAAAAAGTCTTTTAATTACATGAATTAAGTTTTGTTCCAGCTTCTCCAAGTAAATAAGCATTAATGGCATTATATATAGATCTATGGGGAAGGCAGCGTTCGAAAAAAAGGCATCACTATAGTAGGCCAAACATTGCCAGTTGTCTTTAATTACACCTTGTCATCCACACAGTCCGATAACGTCAGAATCGGCCTTAGGATTCTTCTGCAAATGACGCCATTTTTTGTCTTAGAGATGACAACCAGCCAGCTAGGGATGATTCTTCCTCTGTCATTATGTCACTGAAATTGACAGGTTTTTGTGGAGATATTTCTGATTTCTGTTCTGAGGTTCCCCAAGATGATTCGATTATTAACATTTACACGTTGTTACTGTCTTCATTTTGACTTTTATTTTAAAAAAAGATTTAGCTAAGACTGTATGATTAATAAATACCTTTGTACTTTAAAAAAAAAGACAAATCTCAGATCATGTTAGATGTGTACCAACATTTTCCTCTCCAAAATAATAAAAAAAAAAACCAACAAAGATTGTTTAATACTGTTGTATCAGTATCGTATAACAGCTCTATTATTATGGAGGTTGTATCCTCCTATCAAAAGTCTTAGGATTTTTTTTGTCAAGTATATTTCAGTATCTACACACAAAGCTAAATTAAAGATTAAAATAAAAGAGAGGGTGAATGCTCTTATTTTTTTGCGTATTTCCTATGCACTGTAATTTCGTCTTACACATAAATTTCTTTTTCAAAGTTTTCTTTCTAATATTTTATATCCAAATAAATCAGAGGACAAAATAGTGTTATTCTATCTTAAAGAGACTAATTCATAATTGGGACAAAGAAAAAAAAATTCAAATTACATCGCATAATCAATTATATCATAACCTTTCTGCAACCATAAAATGTAATTTTTGTTGCATTAAATGTTAAACAAGTATTACAAGTATTTAAATTAAAGTATTAAGATTTTAATTGCCAAATGTATCCTGTATATTCAAGAAAGAAAATAAAAAGTGGGCGTCTATGATGTTAACTTTTAGATATTACTGAAAAGATGTTAATTTAAGCTAAAATTGGGGCTATTTTTCTAGACTTCCCACAACATATTTGATATATTTGTCAAATATGATAGGATTCATAAAAGCTAATAAAATATATAATTCGATTCAAGCATAATGCATTTAATTGCACAAAATGACTTTTGTGCAGCCTGCATAGAAAAAAAAGAAATCCGAACAAATACTTAGCAATGGAAACATTAATTTTCTTCTTAAGAAAACCTTCCGCCACAAAATATAGTTACTAATGCTTCTTGTATAGAATTTAATTTTTGGTTTTTAAATGAATATAGTTCAAAATATGATGCAGAATTTTACAAATAGAGGTCAAGACAAAAATCTACCGAAAAGCTCAGGATTGAACCTCCTTAAAATTTTCCATACATAAATTACACTGTTTAATTTCACCAATTTATATATATTTATTGTAATGTTTTAATTCATATTGTCATTAATAACACCTCACACATGATTTTATTCTATAACTAAAAATCTACATCTGTCTGGCTTAGAAGATCTAGCACAACTACATGAATTTGTTTGTGAATTCTACATGATCTACTACAAAATTAATGAAAATATTTTAAAAACTGAATTATAATGTTTTGTAAAGGTCGTTAATAAATCGTCTGTAGGCACCATATGATCACACATTGCTTTAAGGAATTCGTTAGTAGGGGGTACTCTTTCCCAGTCCTTTATATAATGTCTATATACACACAATCACATATGCTTAAACTGTATTCGTTTATGTTTCAGTGTTACACATGGATTTTGGATATATACAACCGTTTGTCGCACGATATAGGATCTCTCAAGGCTATTGGTTGGGTATATGATTTTTATCTTTTTCTGTGTGTTTTTTTAATCCCCAAGCCGTGGCACTTTGTATTCTCTTAAAGTCGTACCGGAGCGAAACAGCTCCGACTTGCTACAAATAGCTATAGGGGAAGCACTATAATTGTGGTGAAGGCCTGTCCCAAGACACAATTAGAATACCTAACTGGAAATTACTCTGTTGACCTTATAAATGGCTAGAAAATACTACCATTCTGAAAATACTATTAATTACAATTTTGTTATATGTTGAATTTTAAATCTCATTAAGTTACATAATCGTTTTATTCACACACAACAAGTGATCAATTATTTTACTTAAAATAAAAGGACGGAATTTTTTTTTATATAGAATGCAAATTTTCTATTGTTTGCTGTAAATATGATACTATGATCTCAATTTTTACAGAAAAAGCTGCGGAGGGAGTGCTAAAGGTACAGATAAACCAGCAACTGTGTTTGATAGATCACACCAAAACGTATGGCACAATGACGCATTGACAGAAACCCAGGTTCATCAAAATTAAAAAAGATCTGCTATATGGTTCTTAGCATTTATCGAAAAGTAAAAGAAGGGCAGTGAGCCTAGGGTTACATTCTAAGAAAACAGTTGCATGGTCAACACTAGAATAAAAGAAACACAATAATACAACATACAAGTACAAGAACTTTTGCCTTTTACTGCAGCAAATAAAACTATTCAAACTTAAGTTTGGATATCTCATATATATGTGTTGATGGAATATGAATCAAATAAATTAAGATCAGTGGCAGTGTCCCTATTATGCAATGGGAAATCGCAAATATTTTTTCGATCAGAACATAAAATAAGAGATGCACAATAGCACTATGTAATAAAAATTCTGTGAAAGTCTCTATAGTTTTTCAGTTGTATACGAAGAACTGCTAATAAGAGATGAGTGTTATAGAAAGAATGGCATTGTCCAGGTTTTGCTATGGGAAGCCCCAAATATCTGTCTATCTATCGAGGGGTTATGAGAAAAATCGTGGACTGGTGCGAATGTTCGACATCTTCATTGCTACTCAATGTCGGTTCCCTTTGCCTCAATAAAATTTTCTTGACGAGATTCCATGGGGTTCTGTAATGACGGAATCCCATCTTGTTTATATTACTTTACAATTTCATGAATAGCTGATTTCAATGTACAATATTTATATGATCTTAACAAGGGAAAGATCCTCATTGATTGTGTCAAGTTCATTTGCTTGTCGTAGTTCAATTCTTATATACTGCACACAAGAAACTTCACTTTTTGATGTGACTGATTTTGGACACCCAGACAGCGAATCGGCATTAAACATAGTACATGTGTCTTTCCTCTCTCTGAAGTTTTTTGACATTTAAAAATGGGCAATTTTCATGGAACTGACAGAATAAGGTTATAATGGCAAATTCTACGTATGAACAATTTCTAAAACGAGGCAAACTACTGAGTTGATTAAATAAGGATATCAACAGTCTCGTTTGAAGTCAACATTTCGCAACTTTTATGGTCGATACAATGACCTTGTGAGCAAATATTAGTACAACCTATCATTAAGTCAAATGCTGAATGACATTATTTACACACTGAATTGTCGACAGAATTTTCCGTTTTCCCGACCATGACAAGGAGCACACGGCGGGTGTGACCGGTCGGCAAGGGATGCTCACTCCTCAATGGCACCTGATCCCACCTCTGATGTTTTTTGAGGTCCGTGTTTGTGCTGCTCCCGATTGGTATTGTTCTAATGGACTTCGAGTTTGAATACTGTTCGTTATCTCCATATTTCATCACCAAATAAGATAAAATAATCTAAGAAACAAACTTCCTCGAACTAGAGCCCAAGAGAGTTTGCGTTTTGATCTTGTTTTAGCTTCGGATTTTGATGAATGTTGTTCGAGTTTTTCAATTGAAAAGCGATGTGAAATTCATTTTGACCACATTTCATACTTCACACTGTTCTTTATGATCGTTTCAATACTTGTATATTATTTAAAAAAGAGTTCAATAACTAAACAGAATGTGAATAATTGCATTTCCTTCAGATAATAATTTAATGGTACTTTCATTTTCTTATGTTGGGAAAAACACTTTTTAATTACATGGCATAATGTGAAAATAGACATCCTTTTAGTACATATGTTTTTTTTTTTTTTCAAAATGAAAAAAAGACAAGGACCAAAAATAATTTCTAAATAGAAAATACATCTCATAATTCTTTGTAAAAAAAATCTTATTTTTTCACTTCAATGTCTGACTATAATGGAATCATAACAAAAGAGTGATAGCTCCTGCAGACAAAATGGCATTTCCTTACAGACAGCTGTTAAATCGGGCTTTTATTTGGTTTGTTACACGATTGACGAGGCGTTTCTCACTTTTAATGTCGAACATTCTGCGCGGGCCATTTAGCAGCTGAACTTGGATCAATAATACTATACAGAGCTACAAACCTGTTTGTGTCAAAGACGTGTATTTACCGTCTGTATGACTAAAATAAAACATCTATATATAGGTGTTAGTGCTATTTTTGATTGTTTGGAATCAGTGTTGGCGATTAAAAGTTGTTTATCATTTAGACATGTTGTTTGGCCTTAAGTGCTCTTTTGAAGATTGAGGTAACTCTTTTATCAAAGAGCAAAATAGCAATACCGCCTTCCCATAATACACACAGTTTGGTAACTTCCAACGACAATGAAGGGACACTCATTCAGTCATCTTTATCCCTTCATTATAATGTCACTATAAGAACCTATAATGTATCCGGACCAAATATATTGTTCTGAGCTCCGAGTGTTCCCTCAGTTGAACTCTTTATAAAGTATCCGGTCCAAACCTATTGTTCTGAGCTCTTAATGTTCCCTCGGTTGATCTCGTTATAAAGTATCCGGACCATATTTGTCCTTCTGAATTGTAAGTGTTGCCTCCGTCGTCCTGAATGTAGAGACCGGAACTGTGATCTACCAGAAATAAGAAAAGATAAATTAAATGACACTATCTGAGAACCATTTTTTTTTATTTGTTAGGCCATTTCAAATCTACTCTGTAGAGGTTTTATTTATTTCGTTGTTTAACGTCCATTCGCGAATTTTTCAGTCATATTGAGACACCACCACTAGTCGGTGGAGGGCTGCAAATTTAGACATTTACTCGGCACTTAGAGCCTTTGAGCAGTGAGGGATCTTTTTCGTGCCAGCCCCTTCTGTGAGATGAGACAACAGTGTATACGGTCTCATCCTAAGGACCGGTCTCCACGTCGCACAGTGGATTTGAACCCGCGACATAAGGACTAACTCCTTACGCCGCGACTCAGAGCAATCACTGCGCCTTGCGGGCGACTTCATTAGATGTAAAAAAAAATTCAAATGTGCATCATTCTGGTTTTTTAAAATATATAGTCGTATAGATGGAAAAAAGATCATTTTTTTCATTTGCGATTTAAGTCATGTTTGGGACATGCTGTAGTGGATTAAAAATATACAACGTTATTAAGCTAAATAATGTTTAAAAACCACACATTTTGAGTTTCCCAAAATTCAGTAAACTGCACAATATCAAAAGCAGATTTTAATCGTTTTAGTATACATTTTCTTAATAATTAAAAACTTTTCAACTATAGACTTTTCAAAACTTAAAAAATCTCGTACATGTAAAATATGTTAAAAAAAAAAAAAAAAGTATTAGTCTCTTGGGATAATTTACAGGTTTCATTCATATTTACATTATATCCCATGATAAAGAATAAGGGAATAACTGTCTTCTCGTTCCGTTAATGCTGACTTAAAGGTCGCAACTTAGTCAGCAGAGCCGGTAAAACAGACGTTTGTGACCGTTAAATCAGCACTGACGGTCACAGGTAACAAACATGACGACAGTTATTCTCGTACTAATACAATTTATGTATTTTATTTGATATTTACATCTTATTTCGCTCGGCTTTGCTTTCTTGCTATATAAAATACGCCAAAATATGATTATGGTTGACGCTGTTTTTGCGTCACTCTATAATGACGGCACAGTCGAAAGCCTTCTCTCTTGTTGATGCTCGTTTAGCTGTCTCAAACATAAAACAATATCCATTTGATTTGTATATTATAAAACAGTTGCATTAAATTATTTTTCAAGTTTTTAAAATCTTAAACATGTCATTAATTTAAACCTTTACTAGTATATTATTTCCTGTAGAAATAACTTTCAAATAGCTGGATAATTGGATAAAACAGTGAAAAAATTGTTGGAAAACACATATACAAACAAAATACTAGTAACGTTTTTACCTTTTTTGATTTTCTTTTCCTGCCAAGCTTGAAGTAACCTTTAAGTCTGTCTTTTGTAGATTCCGACATTTTCCAAGACGCAAACAAGACTGGGTTAACGCAAGTAGATAGAAAACCAAACCACGTGAAAGTTATATATGTAAGATCAAAATGGCCGGTATTGTTCCCGCTCTCATGTACGAAAAATTGAACTAAAATCAAAATATTTAGTGGACACCAACAAACAGCAAATAAAGTTATCATAGAAATGATATATCTGTGAGTTTGTTTCTCTGTTGGAAGGTCAAGATCATCTTCACTGCAAGTGTGTTCAGATTGCGCGATGTGACGTTGATTTGAGTCTTCTGATCCAATTCTGGAAGTCTCGTCGTCATTAAGAGTTAAGCGAGATGTACAAGTCATGTTATTAGAATTAGTCTCAAAATGTATTGATATGGAGGTTGTTTCTAATGACTTAAGCTCTGCAGATACTTTCAGGAACAAAAAACCAATAGTGGCAAGAGGCATGGCATACAACGTTATAAACATGGCTCTAATGTATTCTTCAATATGCCGTTCTTGGTTTATGTAACAAATACCAACACCGAAAAAGCGGTATCCCAAAATGGCACCCAGGTCGATGTACTTGATATACACAGCATACGGAAGTACGAGACATACTGACACTACCCAAACACCTATAATACAAAGTCCAGCAGGCAAGCGAGACCGAAAGGGATTAACAATCAGGCGATACCGATCGATTGCAATCATAAAATAAGTTAACATTGAAGAATGAATGGGGAAGCATTGTAACATGGGTAAAAAGAAACACATAAAGCTTCCAAAAATCCAATTATGTATCAATAAATTAGCTAGGGAAACCGGAAGAACAAATATACATTTCAGAATGTCAGAGAAGGCAATATTTCCGAGAAAGAGAAACGTCTGGTCTCTATACAGCCTTCTTTTTCCAATCACTATTATAATCGCTAGGTTTCCACAGAAGCCAAATATGCCAACGAGGGCATGAAGAAACATGAATAACGGATACACGTAACGGAGAGACCGCCTAACATGTGGCTGTGTGAAATCCACATCGTTCGTGCTATTCTTGTCCTCTATGTACTTAAAGACGAGTTCTAAAAAGGCTCGATCTTCGTGTTCAACGAGCGACATCACAGCTCAGTATCTCAGCTCAGTATCTCAGGATAGGAAATTATCTCCCTGTCACAGTCCAGTATCTCAGGATAGGAAATTATCTCCCTGTCACAGTCCAGTATCTCAGGATAGGAAATTATCTCTCTGTCACAGTCCAGTATCTCAGGATAGGAAATTATCTCCCTGTCACAGTCCAGTATCTCAGGATAGGAAATTATCTCCCTGTCACAGTCCAGTATCTCAGGATAGGAAATTATCTCCCTGTCACAGCTCAGTATCTCAGGATAGGAAATTATCTCCCTGTCACAGTCCAGTATCTCAGGATAGGAAATTATCTCCCTGTCACAGTCCAGTATCTCAGGATAGGAAATTATCTCCCTGTCACAGTCCAGTATCTCAGGATAGGAAATTATCTCTCTGTCACAGTCCAGTATCTCAGGATAGGAAATTATCTCCCTGTCACAGTCCAGTATCTCAGGATAGGAAATTATCTCCCTGTCACAGCTCAGTATCTCAGGATAGGAAATTATCTCCCTGTCACAGCTCAGTATCTCAGGATAGGAAATTATCTCCCTGTCACAGTCCAGTATCTCAGGATAGGAAATTATCTCCCTGTCACAGTCCAGTATCTCAGGATAGGAAATTATCTTTCTGTCACAGTCCAGTATCTCAGGATAGGAAATTATCTCCCTGTCACAGTCCAGTTCCCTGGGTAGAAAGTTAGCTCTCTGTCACAGCCCAGTATCTCAGGATAGGAAATTATCTCCCTGTCACAGTCCAGTTCCCTGGGTAGAAAGTTAGCTCTCTGTCACAGCCCAGTATCTCAGGATAGGAAATTATCTCCCTGTCACAGTCCAGTTCCCTGGGTAGAAAGTTAGCTCTCTGTCACAGCCCAGTATCTCAGGATAGGAAATTATCTCCCTGTCACAGTCCAGTTCCCTGGGTAGAAAGTTAGCTCTCTGTCACAGCCCAGTATCTCAGGATAGGAAATTATCTCCCTGTCACAGTCCAGTTCCCTGGGTAGAAAGTTAGCTCTCTGTCACAGCCCAGTATCTCAGGATAGGAAATTATCTCTCTGTCACAGTCCAGTTCCCTGGGTAGAAAGTTAGCTCTATGTCACAGCTCAGTATCTCAGGATAGGAAATTATCTCTCTGTCACAGTCCAGTATCTCAGGATAGGAAATTATCTCTCTGTCACAGTCCAGTTCCCTGGGTAGAAAGTTAGCTCTATGTCACAGTCAAGTATCTCAGGATAGGAAATTATCTCCCTGTCACAGTCCAGTTCCCTGGGTAGAAAGTTAGCTCTCTGTCACAGCCCAATATCTCAGGATAGGAAATTATCTCCCTGTCACAGTCCAGTTCCCTGGGTAGAAAGTTAGCTCTATGTCACAGTCAAGTATCTCAGAATAGGAAATTATCTCCCTGTCACAGTCCAGTTCCCTGGGTAGAAAGTTAGCTCTATGTCACAGCTCAGTATCTCAGGATAGGAAATTATCTCCCTGTCACAGTTCAGTTCCCTGGGTAGAAAGTTAGCTCTATGTCACAGCTCAGTATCTCAGGATAGGAAATTATCTCCCTGTCACAGTTCAGTTCCCTGGGTAGAAAGTTAGCTCTATGTCACAGCTCAGTATCTCAGGATAGGAAATTATCTCCCTGTCACAGTTCAGTTCCCTGGGTAGAAAGTTAGCTCTCTGCCACAGTCAAGTATCCAAGGGTTGGAAATTATTTCTCTGGCCAGTTCAGCATCCAAGGGTAGGATATTAACTCTCTGATACAGACTAGTATCCCAGGTTAGGAAATAAGCTCACTATCACAGTCCGGTATAGAAGGATTGGAAATTAATATATTTCTGTCACAGCCCTGTATTTAAGGATAGGAAAATCAACTCCCTTTAACAGCCCGGTTTGACAGGGCAGAAATTTGGCTCTCTGACACAGCTTGAAGGTTAATAAATTGTTGCTCTGCCACAGTCGGGTGTTCTTTGATAAGTTATTGGCTTTCTATCACAGCCAGGGTACCAGGGTTAAGAAATCCATTCTCTGTTACAGTCCGGTGTCCTTAAGGCTAGATGCAGGTTATCTGTCAAAGGAAATAAAATTTAAGATAAACGTGACTCATATTTTAAAGTTTAACCACAAGTTTTTTTGTTTGTTTGTTTTTTTTTTTTTTTTTTGTTTTTTTTTTTAAGACCACACATGCATACTACTGCAATAATTATTTTTTATTTGATGTCATTATAATCACATCTTTTGGTATTTTTTCTATGGAAACTGAAAAGTAGCCAATACAAACACGATTTGACATCATGTATCATTAATCTTTATCTTGTGAAGCGCTTTTGTATAAGGTAGTTTATTTATTTTCTTCGTCTGAATACTTTTCATTTACCCGGTAATCGTAAAGCAGAATTATCACTCTGTTCACAAATATATTGCATGAACAATATTACCAATCTATATTCGTATATGAATCCATAGTCCTAAGCAATTCCTTGCCCTGTTGTTGACCTTATGATAAAATTTAAGCAAAATGTTGTAAAACCGCGTAATTTAATACTCTTAGTTGTATTTTAATCACCAATACGGCAGGACTACAGACTGGTATTTCATTTATATCATATATTACATGTAAATCTCTTATCTTACTATAAACATTCCTAAATGTAACGTGTCATATCTTCATTAAATTTCAAATTGAAATACATTTCTTAAATAAAACACAGCAATATTCAATGAGAATCGGAGTAATATATAACTACATTGAAAAGAACGAAGCGCAAAATGTCCTGGCTACAGTAATGATAAATAGAGGAATTTATTGCTTAAATCCAAGTTAAAGAATTGCGTTGAATAAACCAGCGTATAGCAACTCCGTATAGAAATGACAATCAATAAAAGTGATAAAGTCTCCTTTGAAAATTCGAATAAAATTCTTATTTTTCCGTCTCTGTATTAGTAACACTAACCTAAATTCATCATCGGTTTCAGCTTATATAACATTCTAGATTGGCATTCACTTTGGAATGAAATGTGAACATAGGAAGTTCAATGACCCTGATACACATTATTAGCTTATTTATTTCAGATCTACTCTTTTATTATATTTGTATTTGAAATATGATACTTTTAATCAGCAAACTAATCCATAAAAATGTATGGAATTATACTGAAACGAGGTTATTAACTCTTACTAGTTACCTTATTATCGTCCATAGCCTATCAGAATTATGATGAATATAAAGATACAAAATGTAAAAGGTTAATATATAACCAATAGCGATCAATCTCATAAATCAAGAGATGAATACGAAAAGTGAACAGGGCAAAAACACGGACTGCTGGAAACACTAGAGGTGAGATCAGGTGCTAAGGAGGAGTGAGTATCTTCCGTCGACAGAGCACACCTGCCTTGAGCACCCTGTAATCATCAGGTAAATGGAGAAATCCGTAATTATATTTAATATAATGACCTCATAATTAGTATACCAAATTTTAAACTGAGGCAGTCTACTGACAAATAAATTGATGTTACTTGCCTTTATGGAAATTTTGTTTTGCTTGCAAATGATTCGTCTGACAACATATCATGGATATGTACGGTGTCCCCCTGATTTACCGGCAACATTTGTACCTTGCCGATTTTTGCGTTATAACGGGTGTGGCATTTTAACGGGGGAATGCAATTAGGCACTTGAAAGCAAAGGTTATTGCTTAAATACACGTTTAATTTTTAAAAATATTTTTAAATATTTATTGTTGATTGTTTTATTTTATTGTTTAATAGTAACAAAACGTCTATGTTTTTTTATGCAAAAGTCAGACCCCAAATAGCGAATCACTACTCACAACTTCCAGTCTATGTTTAACGTCCGTGTATTCAACACTAATAAAACGTACTACATTCCTTTATAGCTATGTACACATGGTATTCAGTTTAACTTGGATCAAATTACTGCTTGTAAAAACAGCACTGTTTGATTATTTTACCCACCATAGACAACCGACAGGGATTAGCTATTACAGATGAAACCTATGAAATTGACACTTAATTGTAAAGTTCGCTACTAACGTCAATTTAGTATATAAAATGTAATTTGACTGTTTTTATATATCAATTATTTTTAGCTTTATAAACATATTTTTTCTACTTATGTGATAACTGTAGACAAAATCTGGGATATTAACAGAGGTGTAGAGTCAGAGTAAACAATGTGATGACCAATGATGATAACTGATTATTATAAATTAGTTCTTTACATGTTAAAATGGTTTTAAAAGGTTATATATTTATTCTGATTTAAATGTTTGCTATTTGATTTCATTATAACGCGGACATACCGATCCGATTGTCGAAGAACAACAGAAAAGTCTCACTAATGGCAATACTTATCGGGGTGGTTTTTACCTGAAATACGTTGGCGGATGGCGAAAGGCGGTGATGGCGGTATAATGGGGCTTTATATAGCGAGGAAATCGGGATTTGGAAATTTTTTGGCGGTAGGCGGGGGTGGTATAATAACTGGAGGAAGTAAAACGGGGGAGCACTTTATGCAACATATATATATATATATATATATATATATATATATATATATATATATATATATATATATATATATATATATATATATATATATATATATATATATATATATATACATGTGTATAGGGATATATTTACAATTTAAAACATTTGGATATCATATTAGATATGAATGTAGTTAACAATGAAGTTAACAATAACACACTTATTTTTTAAGTGTCAAATTTTAGGGAACCTCCATCATTCACAGAATTTCATAAAACATTTTAAACTCATACGCCAGGCGACGTACCAAATTTGATAAGGAAAATCTTGACACTTTGTCGGAATGTATCAAAAGTGATAAGTGGATGTTGAAGTCTCGTTTCAAACGGCTGAGGAGCAACATGAAAATGATCTGTCCTTCCGTCTTCAGTAATTCAGAAGTGAAGGAATTAAATAGATTACATGATCAATATACATGTATAACCGGCTGTCAAAGCA